ATTTAATCTGATAGAATACTATGAACTGGTGGATGAGTAGGGAGAAGAGCCATGGTCTCCTCCTAGTAACAATCTAGCAGTTATGATCTGAAAGCGGGTGGGTTGCAGACTATATAGTGGGAGTCAGCAAAGTTATTACAGCATGGAAAATTTCTCAGAATAGGAAATCTTTCAAATAATTAATTAGTCATGTGACATTGCACACTTCTGAAAAGTCCTTGTATAAGATCATTTTTAAGCTTGATTACAGTAGTCACCACTACCATGTTTGGCAATTACTCTGACCAGGCCCAGTGATTTACAATAAGTCTCATCATCCTGTCAGTCAGACACTCTTGTTACCTCAGTTTCCTGAGGAGGTATGAGGTAAGTGAAAGGCATCAATTATTCTTTCAATTGATAGGCTAATTCCAAAATTAGTTGCTTAAAGTATCCATCTATCTGTCTCATCAGTGCGGATTTGGATGGGGCTTAGTTGCCCGGTTCCTGATCTAGCAGAGGTTTAGGAGATCTTCCTGTATGCACTTGGGATCCTCTGGTTATTCAGTGAGGTGCCTGGCCTATAGAGACCTCACTCCAGTATTCTTGTCTTCAAAGAGCTTTTCATTCTTCAGCCTAGCAAGCCAGGTGTGGTTGTTTGAATATGAATGACGCCCAAAGGTCATATGCTTGAATGCTTAGTCACCAGGGAGTAGAACTCTTTGATAGAATTAGGAGGAGGTGGTGTGTGTGTGGCCTTGTACAAGGAAGTGTGTTACTGGGGTGTGAGCTTTGAGGTTTCAAGAGCCCAGTCTCTCGTGTCTCTCTCTCTCTCTCTCTCTCTCTCTCTCTCTCTCTCTCTCTCTCTCTCTCTCTCTCTACTATTTCTTTATCTCCAGCTTCTCATGCCCCACACCTTAATGATAACAAACTAAACCTTTGAAACTCTAAGTAAGCCCCCAATTAAGTGCCTTGTTTTATAAGTGTCCTCGGTCAGGGTGCCTCTTCACGGTAATAGAATGGGAAATGTTAGTCCTGTCCATGGCAGCGGCCCGCCTCTGCTGCTGAGGTAGTTAAGTCATCACCTGTGGCCATGCACGTCCCTTAACAGTGTCCACCAGGCACAGCTCTGCCTCTTGCCTTTCTAGTCTTTCTCTTCTTTTCCTGTCTGCTCTTTCTCTGTGTCTGTCTGTCAGTCTGCCTTTCAGGTCCCCCCATCCTAGATGGCCTTTTGCTCGTTTACCCCCGCTTCTCCTTCCTCCCTCCTCCCACACACCTCTTCACTAACCCTGTCTTAAGTGGCCTGTTGACTTAGTGGCCCACGTTGGCAGGGCCCACTGAACGTACCCGCTTCACCCCTCCCCTCCTTCTTAAACTACTTTCAGTAACTAAGCTACCAGGCTCAGTCATGTGCAGTCTCTGAGTTCCAGATTCTCTGGAACGAAAACTTCGTGACTGTTTGGGGAAAAGATTTGGAGCTAGCCTAGTCTATTCTTTAGAGCTTTCTGATAGAAAAACAAGCACAAGACCTTTCAGGTCCAAAGGGTAGGGAAGTTATATTCGACTTCTTGGGAGGTGTTTCACTGTGAATATATCTGCATTGTTCTAAGCCTAAAAGAGGTGTCATAATTTGCCAACTATGATACAGCTAATCAGTAAAGGAATTGGGTTTAGTCTAGCCATTTGAAGCTGTTACACAGAATACTTGGGCATAGTGTTCTCAATGGCAATGTAAACTCTTAGACTCATTCACACTGCCTTTAATGCAAAGGGCCCATAGCAATCTCTAATTGTAATTCCCTTTTTAAAACGATGACACAGTAGCTTTGAATGTGCAAACTGGAAGTTGTTAAATAATCCCTGCAAGATCTAATGGATGTAGAAACAGAATGTATCACATACTCAGGCAAGTCTTTGGAGTTCAGGTATCTTGAACAAGAACCCCAAAGGAAGGGTGTCACGTCTGAGGCTGGAGTTAATAGTTCTATAACTAACAGATTTTTCACTTTTCAGAAATGTCTGAGCCCGACACCAAAAGTGAGAAAAGCTTTGGGTACATGAGATTATACCTCTAAAAAAAAAAACTAATGCAAACCAAATGAGCAGGATCAGATACAAAATAAAATGCCCTGCCTTCTGTTCCGCTCCTATCATTTTGAGCAAGCCTGGGTCTATTTGATACAAGAGCAGTTTGATTCACTGGTTAGTATCCACAGCTTTTCAACCATCAAAAATTCCTCTGTGGTCACTGATTTAATTTTGAGTTCCAGATGACTGTTTCCCCTGTGTCATTTACCCATCAAGAGTCAGTTTATGTCTCACTCAAAACTTTAAGTTCTCCTTCTCTTTTAATTATAAGTGATGTTTTTAATTACTGTCTCTCTTTTTAAAACTTCACAGTAAATAATGGGAGAAGTTGTTCCACAGACTCCATACTGCCTAAAGATTCCTTGAGCAGCCGGGCGTTGGTGGCGCATGCCTTTAATCCCAGCACTCAGGAGGCAGAGGCAGGCGGATCTCTGTGAGTTCGAGGCCAGGCTGGACCGAAAGCCTCTAAAACAGAGAAACCCTGTCTCGTAAAACCAAAAAAGAAAAAAAAAAAAAGATTCCTTGAGCAAGCAACTGAGTTTATTATTCTTAAATTGTGCCATCAACATTGGCCCAAAGATTCAAGTCTGAGTACTTTGTCTCATTAGATTATTTAGTTAGTGGGGTGGGGCGAGGATGGGACATATGCTTGCCATGGCACCTGTGTAGCATTCAGAGGACAACCTTAAAGAGTCAGTTCTCAACTTCGAGGTCCAAGGATTTCATTTATTATGTATACACTGTTCTGCCTGCATGCCAGAAGAGGGTGCCAGATCTCATTACAGATGGTTAGGAATTGAACTCAGGACCTTTGGAGAAGCAGCCAGTGCTCTGAAGCACTGAGTCATCTCTCTAGCACCCAATGTTCATCTTCAGCCAGTGCTTTTGCCTTTACCTAGCCAGCTTGCCCTCCCTCCACCAAGTTCTTTGTCGCTTTGTAGCAAGGATGCTTTCTTTCCTGTTTTTGATACCTTTAGTTCATTTTTGTAATGTTTCATTACAGTGGCTAAATGTTGGGTGCTAGGCTCATACCTGTATCCTAGCACTTGGGAAGTGGAAGTGAGAGGCTCAGGAGTCTGAGGTCATCTCAGATACGTAGTGAGTTTGACAGCAGCCAGACTACATGGGACTTTGTCTCAACTCTGACCAGCTTCATACAAAAATGAAAGAAAATACTAAAAGGGAATTGCTTTATTATGCTAACGTCATGTTCATACCCACTTAGACAATCTCCATTTGATCTTAGTTCAAGGTCAAGAAACAATTCTACTTGATGTAATCCAAGAAGATTCAGGACCCTCTTATCTGTTTTCTGAGTCCTCACCAGCATCACCGTTGATGCTATGTTCACATCTCTCTTGCTTTTCCAGAAACACATACCTCCAAATTCAGTCTTTCCACATCACCCAGTTTCAAAGCCTCGTCCACACTTCAGGATTTTTGGTATCCAGTCATCCTTCTAGGTAAAGCATTCTCTTTAGTCTATCTGGGATGCTAGCACATGCTAGCATATTAACTAATAAATAATAGCTCATTTCTTTCAGTTCTAGAGACTCCAAAACCCAACATGGAGCCTCCAGCAGCTTCAGTGTCTAGTCACTGAAGAGTCAAGTTTCATGCCCTGTTTTTCAGATGGCCTTTCTTACAGTATTGTCACTTGGCAGAACAGCTAAAGGGATGGGGATGCTCCCTTCAGCTTCACTTATTAATGACTCAATAAAAAGTCATTAATACCACTCACCTAATCGCTTCCTAAAGGCTTACATTGGTAATGAAGTGTCAGGTGTCAGCACATGACAATTGAGGAGATATGTTCAGTCTGTAACATTCACCAACACTTGACATGGGATTATGTCTTTAGTTTAAGCTAATTACTGGTATCGCAGTGATAATTCATGAGATTTTAATTTATATTTCTCTTAGGACTACTGATTATGAGCGTATTTTCGTCTGCATATCTTATCTACTCTCAATTGTTATCAGTGTATTTATATTCTTTTGTGAAGTGTGTGTCAGATATTTGGCTCATTTTAAAGCTGATTTCTTTGTGCTGGCTAGAGAATTTAGCGGGTAAAGGTGTCTGTTACCAAGCCTGATGACTGGAGTTCAGTCCTTGGGATCAGAAGAAGGAATGAACTGACTCCTCAAACCTCTACATGTACATTGAGGCCCTCCCCCCCACCCAAACAAATAACTAAAAATACAATTTAAAGTTGATTTGTTGTGCTATTAGTGTGTGTGTGTGTGTGTGTGTGTGTGCGCGCGCTCGACATACTACTTTGTATATTCGCATACATGTGAGGACATGAATGGATGATAATTTAGATGCTGGAGGTCATTAATGTGAACTAGCTAGTCTCAGGACTAGCTTGGAATGCACTATTAAGCTAGGTTAGGCTTAGATCTGATTGTCTCCATTTGCCCAGCACTAACGAGGATTGCAAGATTTTACCACCACACAAGGCTTTTTTTTTCCCCTTTGGATGTGGGTTCTGAGGGTTAAATTCAGGTCCTTGTGCTTCCAGTGAATGCTTTGCAGACTGAGTCATCTTCCCAACTCTCGTGTGTTGAGAGAAATCTATTGTCTGACATTTTAATTATGAATATTTCTCTAGTTTCTGGTTCCCTTTTCTCCCTCCTTCCTCTCTCTCTCCCTCTTCCTTTCTTTCTCGTCTTTCCTCCCTTTGTCTTCCTCAGTCTCTGTCTCTCTCTCTCTCCCTCTCTGTTTCTCTCTCTCTTCTTCCTCTCTTTCCTTGGATCAAAGTCAACACTTGCATATGGTAAGTCAAATGTTCTACTGTACAGCTACATCTCTAGTCCCTCTTCATTTTGTTTAATGGCATTTTCTTTAAAGATCAAAAGCTTTTCATCTTAATGAAGTTCAATTACCATTGCTTCCTTTTTTGTCTTCCGCCTTTATTGTTCTGTTTTAGAATGAACCAATGGATGAAAACATTTAAAGTTAAAACGTGTTTCCAGAAGTCTAAAGGTGAAATCAAAAGTGAGCCAAGTGCTTTGTTTTATAAATCTTGTGAATTTTGCATTCTATTTAATATAACATTATTTGCTTTAACATAACAATAATGGTTTACATATGAATGAATATATCTAATGATCCAGGATAAAGAGCATCTTTATTACATAGTCCAGGACTGCACACCATCAGAGCATAAATGATAGCAGAAAAAGGTGACTAATTGGTTAAGAAATCATAGCATTTTTAGTCAAAATGAGTTCGGTGCAAACAAAAAGGAGAAAGAACATATTTACAAGAAAAAAAATTGTTGTAGCAGTTTTATGTATATAAAATGACATGCATGTGTACCTATATACAATGGATTCTGTTTCAATTGTTTTCTGATAATCAAACATATTATTATATGAATATTTACCAATTCAATTGCTTGAATATATATAGGCTACCAATAAACCTTCATGAATGAATAACAGATGAGAAACTGAACATAAATGAAAACAGATGGCCTGAACGAAAAAGATTCAGAACTGTCATCAACCCTACACAGTCACTACATATTTTCTCTAACAAGCTCATGCGCCCAAAGCACATTGCCAGAATGTATTGATTTCTTCCAAATATTCTCTATGAAATTATAATTGTGATCTCACAGGGTCCAAGATTGATGACTAGAAAGACCTCTTCCTAGGTTGTTCTTCCAAAGAAGTTGGTGCCCATAGCAGTGCTGTGGAAACTCCTTCCACAGCACACAGATGCATTCTAGGACACCGCTAGCATAAATCTTTCTCCATGACTCCAGCTAGGGAGGAGGCAGGATAACTGAATATCTTCACCCCATCCCCCAACCTTCCAAATCCAATCCCATAGTTAAACCCTAAGCTCCATAACTGACCACCTGCTGCTGCCTGGGCCTCCCTCCCTGCCCCCATCTCCATTAGTTCACAAAGACTTCCCCTCCAACTTTTAATGCCCCAACTCATAACTTTATCCCAGCCCACAAATTCTCCTCAGGTATTCCCTGGGAGCCCCCTGGCTACCATGGAAAGGAAAGCATGTAGGCTAACTGCAGATCTCCACTTCTTCCTCCTCTTCTCTGGACCTAATGCAGAAAGTGAGAGAGAGAGAGACCTTGGAACACTCAGCCCCCTAAAATGGATGCCTACATCAAATACCTACACTTGGGTCTGAGGGAACTTTAGTAGAGGAGGTGGAAAGAGTTTAAGAGCCAGAGGGCATGGAGGAAACCATGAATACAAGATCCTCTAAATCAACAGAAGGGAGACACACATGCAAACGGGAACATGCCTGCACCAGAGGGAGTCTAGAGCCGAAAGTTACCCCTCTCTGTTTCTTTCTGTTTCCACAGCATCACAGTAGCCAGTGTCAATCATTATCTTTATCATGATTTACAATGATGAACCCAAGAGCTTTCTGGCAGTGGTATACTTAAAATTCCAAAAAGTGTCTTGTCTCTTTTCAGCAAAAGAAAACTGCATCAGATGACCATGAATACAGCCTGAGGTGACATCATTTCTATGAAATGTTAAATCAGCTGTGAAGAGACCATGGAAGTGAACTCTACCTGTGAAAATTTCCCCTATTAAAAGGGACCCATGGAGTGCATATAAGAGACATGGTTTTAACTCTCTGGGTTGCTGATCTACAGGACCTGTGGTGAAGATGTGAATTAAAATCAAAGAAGATGCATTTTTTGTGTAGAAAGCAGAATCTTAATGGAAATTTCCAGAGATTTGTGTCACACAAGGACAGCTCAACAAAGCAACAAATGCAGCCTTCCGTGTGTCAGCTGAAGCAGTGTTTTGACAGTTCATGACATATTTTGCAGGTCTACTGAGACCTCTGGGATTGCACTAAAGGAAGAATTTCGTTTCGTTTCTATGGAAACCGTAATTACTCTGTGAGCCTGTTAAACAAGGCAGTTTGTAATACAGTATCTTATTCAAGACAAGTTGTCTTTTGGTTTTTGGATTTTGGTTTCTTAACACAGCATTTCTCTGTGTAGCTTTGTAGACCAGTCTGGCCTCGAACTCACAGAGATTCACCTGCCTCTGCCTCCCACTGCCCAGTGACAAACTGTCTTTGCAATACATCACTGATAATTTTTTTTTAAATCTGGATTTCAACATCTGTCCCAAAAAAGTCTGTGATTCTTTGGAATAAATGAACTAACCAACCATAGTACAAGAAAGCCCTGTTGCACTTCAGATTCTATGTTGGCAATCAGGATGGCTTGACCTGAAGGAGAAGGAATTCTGCACAGCAACGAGGGAACATTCCCTCTTTGAACTGATGCAACACTGCATTTCCTTAATCACCTTCCATTCATATTTCTGTTCATTGCTCACCATGGCCTACTACAAAGAGATTAAACACCTTATAATTGAATTGGTTTACTACCTAGCATAAGAATGCAAACAAACAAACAAATAAATGAAGATCCTGCTCCATCTTTGCAAAATCTTCCAAAAGTATTCTGCTTCTAAATCTGAGAATCTGAAGTCACTTAATGACACAAAGTCACAGAGCAAGCAGTATTTGTGACATCCTTGTAGTAAGTACTAAGATTTTGAGACCTGAAATATACATTTGTCAGCTGACCGCTTATGGGATCAATATTCCTGTATATGTCTACATACTAGTTGAAAAAAATGAAGTGGTGTAAGGAAAGGTAGATATTACAACTTTCATAAAGTGATAGTGCCTCTTGAGATACTTACATTTAATACATGAAAAGATTTCTTGAAAGTGAGAACAATACCAGTGTTTGGGAAGGGAGCTGCTTGAAGGCCATGAATGAGTTCAAGGCCAGCCTAGGTCAGATAATGAGACTCTCTTTAAAAAAGGCAATAACATGTTAGGTATCAAAGAAATATATGCATCATCTAAAAGAAATACATTACCGGCCTTTTATCTGTAGAGAAACTCAAGAAGGCAGAAAAAAATTTCCTATATTGTTTCTTTACATATCTGATACTGATTTAATTACTTAAAACTTCTCATGAGTTTGTGTGTCTGGTTACACACACACACATACACACACTCATTTTTACTGTGATTCTGACAGAAGTGTTATTGTTCATTTCTGTTTAGCTCTGAATAGCATTTCATTGTCTGGATGTATTATGATCTATTTAACCATTAACCTACTAAAGAACATATTGATGGCTTTCCTATTTTGATAATTTGAATAAAACTCTTAAAAGTAAGAACATGGACGTTGTTCTGTAGATAACAAGTTCTCAACTCTCTTAGGTCAAAGCCAAAGAGCATGATTGTTAGATTGTTTCAAAAGAGTATGTTTTGTCTGTAGAGCTACTGCCAAGCGATTTCCTAAAGTAGCTGTACCAATCTGCGTTTCCACTAATAATGACTAAGAGTTTCTGCTGATCCATACTTCATCCAGCACAATTATATTGTCATTGTTCCTTATTTTAGCTACTATAGTGCTTGTGTCAACATATCTCATTGCTGTGGGCCAGAAAAATCGTTCATATTCTGTGTCAATGTTGGAAATGTGTGATCTGCTTATTGATTTTTAGTTTACAGAGGGTTACAGTTAAAAGACTGTCTTGAGTCTCAGAAGAGACTTTGAACTTTTTCTTTCTTTTCTTTTTTTTTTTTTTTTTTGAGGCAGGGTTTCTTTGTGTAGTCCTGGTTACCCTGGAACTGGCTCTGTGATCCCCCGGTGCTGGGATTAAAGGAGTGCACCACCGCTGCTGAGACTTTGAGCTTTTTAAACAATGTTGAGACTTTTGAAGTTGAACTGAATGCCTTTTTGCATTATGATATGGCTACAGACTTCTGGGAGCCAGGAAGTGGGATGTGGTGGTTTGAGTAACAATGGCCCCTATAGGCTCATAAATTTGAATACTTAGTTACCAGGGACCAGCACTATTTGAGGGGTTTAGAAGGATTTAGAGGTGTGGCCTTATTAAAGGAAGTTTGTCGCTGGGGGTGGGCTTTGAGGTTTCAAAAGCCTATGCCAAGTCCCCCCCTCTCTCTTTGTCTATAGATCAATATACAACTCTCAGCTTCTATTCTGGCGGCTGCCTTGCATGCGGCCATAGTCCCCATCATGAAGATTGCTGGGACATGTCAAAAAAATAATGCATTGTGAACAATGCCTTGGCCATTGTTGGAGAGGCTCCAGGGAAAAAGGCAGAGGACCTTTCACCTCAGGTGCATTGTTTCCTGGATTGTTCTTGGATGCGATTTTGTGCCTTCTGTAACAAATATTTGCATTCAATTGATAAGATATATTTGTTCTGTTGGATGTCATACCATAGATATAGAACCTAATTTAGTGAAAGGAGATGCTGAGTGCTGACCTCAGTGTGCCCTGGATTGGGATATAGCCTTCTGTCCTGCTCTCATGCTTTCCCACATAAAATCTATAGCAGTTATATTTAAATTCTGAGGAAGGGCTGCTATGTTAATATTTAGTATGTGCTTATTAGCGTTTATTTACATGTTTTTCTGATTGTGTTTCTCTGAACTCAAACAACCTTCCTTACATCATTGTTTTCTTTGTTTGATTCTTATATACACTAAAATAAAGTTGTCTACAGATCTAGACTATAGGCAGACCATTTTTTAAAGTGTTTAAATCTCAAGTCTCGAAGACAAATCTGTATAGGTCAGTGGAAGTTGATGCTCCAAATGACGCTGTAACGATGAACGGCACACTTACTGAAAGTAAAACTAAGTATGTATTGTAGAAATTACTCACAAGAGACCAAACAAGTAACCCAGATGAGCCCAGTAGTTTTCCGCTGCCGAACCGGAAGCCGAAATCCGGGAAAAGAGACCAAGACTTCCTTTGTGCAGTCTTTTATGCCTTCCCCCGTAACACCCCCTAGCCATGCCCAAAAGTGGGCCTGGCTAGTGACGTAGTTCACCGCCTACGTACGTATACGTCTTTATGTCCGTCTGTATACGTCTTTAGTCATGCCTAAAGTGGGTGTGGTTAGCGGTGTGGTAAACCACTCTTTTATTACCTCATCTGTTTGCGCCTCTAGTAAGTCACATGGTTAATGGCGGCATACAGGCTTCCTCCTACAGGAAGTCAACATGATAATGGACTAAATCTCTGGAACTGTAAGCAAGTTCTCAAATTAAGTGTTTTCTCTTATAGTAGTTGCCTGAGACATGGTGTCTCTGCACTGCAGTAAAACAGTGATTAAGACAGTGGGTAAAGGTACTTGCTATCAAGCCTATTGACTGAGTTTAATTTCTATAGCCAAAATGGTGGAAAGAAAGAACCAAGCCTCCCAGGTTATACCCTGACCTCCACACATAGTACATTGAGTGTGTGCCCATGCTTATATATACAAACAAAATAAACACCTGGAAAAGAAATCTGTAAAAAGAATATCTCATTGTTGGTTAATTGCATTTCTCTTAGGGAAAATTACATATGATATGCATTGTTTTTATGTTGTCTTGGTGTGGTACCTACAAAGGTCATTATCTCGTTTTTTTCAATTGGGTTTGCCTTCATATTATTGAATTCTGCAAATTCTTTGGGTCATTTAAGTAAGAATCCTGCAATAAACATGTCTTCGTGAACATTTCCCCCAGTGATTTGTCTTTTCACACTTGTCATGGTATACTTTACAAGCTAATTAATTGGTATAAAATTAACTCCATTAATTTTATTTTTTAAAAGACACATTTATTTTTTTATCTGATCTGTATTGGTGTTTTGTCTGCTATGCTCATGGAAGCCAAAAGAAGGTGTCATGTCCCCTGGAACTGGAGTTAAAGATAGTTGTAAGTCACCGTGTGGATGCTGGGAATAGAACCTATGTCCTCTGGAGTAGTCAGTATACTTTTAAAAAATATTTTTAATTTTCTGAGACTATGACATAATGTAGCTACACTCTTAAATGCTGAACTATCTCTCCAGTTCCTCCACTAAGTTTAATGAGTCCTTCTTACATGGATTCTTTTCATGCCTAAAGCCATTGCCAATCCTAATGTTGTCACTAGTTCTTCCTACATTGCCTTCTAGGAGTTCTATAGTTTTGTTTTCTACATTTATGCCTCTCTTTGTTAGTGTTGTATTGATATGAAGAGACACCATGACTGAGGCAACTGTTTAGTTGGGAGATTGCTTGCAATTTTCAGAGGGTTTCCATTGTCATCATGGTATGGAGCAGACAGGCATACTTCTTGAGCAATAGCTGAGAGCTACAGCCAGATTACAGGCAGGGGACAGAGAGGGAGAGAGAAGGGGTGGTGGGCCTGGCATGGGTTTTTCAAACCTCAAAGCCCACCCCCAGTGACACACTTCCTCCAACAAGGCGATACCTACTAATTCCTCCTAAACAGCTCATCAACTGAGGACTAAGTATGAGAATATATGAGCCAATGGGGGACATTCTCATTCAAACCACCACAATGCCTATGATCCACACTGAGTTAACTTTTGTAAAAGTAGTAAGGTTTGTGTGTAGATTTCTTGCTTCTGCTGTTGGTTACATGTGGATGCCCAGCTGGAATCACTGTCTAAAAAGAATAAAACATACTTTAAACTTCTTTCCTCAAAGGTCATGACAATAACATCTTGTTAGCCTTTTCTTGCCTTTACCTGGGTTAAGTATCAGATTGTTTATTAGTACACTATCAACCAATAGTCAAGTTCAGAGAGACTCTAAAATTAGAGAAAAAAGGGAGTGTGTGCTGGTGTCTGCAGGTAAGCACCCCTCTAGTAGACAGTATGTGTTCGGTGACCCTTTTCTTCTACATCAATTTGTTATTTTCTTCTGGTCAGGATCTGCTGTCCTGAGCTCCCTGTAGACCTAAGGCACTGCCCAACACTGCTTATAAGTGAAAATATGAATTAATATTTACTATCAGTTATTTTACAAGAGGCGTATTAAGAGTGATTTAACTATTAAATCTGTCACCAAAGTCTGAAATTAAGGCAGTGATTTAAGAAGTTGCACAAGAGTATATCTATACCAAAGTTCATTTTTAGAGCTGGCATGGTGCGACAGAACTATAATCCAAGCACTCAAGAGGGGCAGGGAGAATGATTGTAAATTCAATGGATTATGTAGTAAAACACTGTTACAAAAAGAAAAAAATCCTTTAAAGTATATTTCTCCAGAAAGCAAAGTGAATCTGTGCCTTTAAAGTCTTCATTAACAAAGTAAAAGATGACATTATTAAATTATCTTCCTATCTCATTCAGTCTGTGTAAAGATCTATGTTATTGCATCTTCAGAAACTCCACTGTTAGGCAGAAACCAGTAAAATTATTATTTGAGTGGATTTGTGTATGAGAGTATGTGTATGTGTGGTGTACATAGGTCTGAGCCAAGTCCGGTGAAGATGCACTCCTGGGCATGTGTGAGCCCTTGAATATGAAGATTAATCCCAAAGATTTGAGGAGAAAGACCACTGACCCAAGTAATCATGGCCAAATAAACTAAACCAAGCGATTAATTAAAGTGAGCTTTTTTATTCACGTATATGGACTGTTTCTTCCTAAAACTAGGGCTCAAGAGATCAGCCTTAGACATGAGGAAGACAAGGTTTGTTGTGTGATAATATTTTTATATGCTGTGATAAGGTGTCTCTGCCAAGGCACCTTCTGATTGGTTTAATAAAGACTGAATGGCCAATATCTATGCAGCAGAGACTAGGTAGGACTTCCATGGAGACAGAGAGGAACTGGGGGTGGGAAATCTGAGAGGTGGGGATTCATCAACAAGACACAGAGGAAGGGGGACTCTACTGAGGAGAGGTAATGAACCCCATGGCAGAGTGTAGATTAATATAAATGGGTTAATTTAAGTTTTAAAACCTATTTGGGAACAAGCCTAAAGTCAAGTTTTCATAATTAATAAGAAGTCTCCATGTCATTATATGGGAGATGGCATTCCAAGGAAAAACTGACTATAAAGGTTTTATAGCTCAGGAGTAGGGGTTTCCAAATGGGGGGTTTGGTGGGCAAAACAGTAAGGGTTATAGAACCACGACATAAGCACAAGTTCATCCTAACGACCTCCTGAAACAAAGCCATGGTTGCTGTCTTTGAGAAACAGATTCAATCACACACAGCGAACCTAATTTGTCTTTTCTATAAGAAGGCTTGCAAGCCTAAGATGGGGGCAGGCTGGTTCATCAATGTGTGTGTTGTCTGTATGTGTTCATGTTCACACACAACGTGTGGAGAAGTACTTGGTCATGCACACGT